CTCAAACATCATTTTATCAAAATTAATTACACACTTCCTCTGTAGTAAGTAGTCCAATCATAGTATGCATTGGTCTTCAATGTCAGCCAAGTATATCTTGTGTCTGTCCTTCATGCCCGTAAGCTCAATAGTTATCCACACCGGCCCCCACAACCTTGCATAATGCCCTGTCACACCACAGAGCTTCTGTATGGCTTCTGGTACTCCTTTGTGATCCAGCACCTCGATGCTCACAAGGGTTTGCTGAGATGCAGAATCTATGACAAAGTTGCACTTTTGGCCATCCAGCTTTCCTGTCACATAGACTAGCGTCACGTGACTTCCACTGTCGTAACAATATGTATAGGTCAGTAACTTATGATGTTTTTTTTAAATAGTTTATTAATGTATCTTGACGTTTTACTAACAATTCTTTCAGTATATGTGATACTTAAGTTTGAGATTTTTTCTTAGTTTTGTGAATAAATGTTTCAGTATGTGTGACAACTGTCTTATTTAGAGTTTGTGATTTTATACTGAAACATCGATAAATAATTATACCATGTAATCAGAAGCTTGTTAATATTTAAAAATAAAAATTAGACTGTTTGTTGTAGACTGAACTTGTGACCGAAATTATCAATGCTACCCGGGAACAACTAACTCTGTTACTATCCTTTGAATAATGAAATATTTTACATATTGATGTCTAAGGAGATATTAAAAGTAGAATTTAGTCAATCTTTCATATTGAAAAAATGTTCTAAGCCGACTAACACAGTCTGAACGTTTGACCATTTGCTTTATGTCGGGTACAGTATTGAGCAGAAAGTATGCAAGAATTGTATGCTTACTGAAATGTACATGTACTGTCAAATATTGAGAAATAGAATATCGTGAATAGACAGTTAGTGTTTTGTATAACTATGCAAACTAAAAGAACTATCTTTGCTGTCTTTTAAATTCATTGACATACAAAAGCTCTAAAGTATGGTGAACATTAAATATATGACGAAAATATATGATTATGTAGAGTTTGAACCAATTATTTTCAATGTTAAGTATAATGTAAATACATAAATAACGACAATGTATTATAATTGTCTTGTTCAACTTTTCTTTTCATAAAATCTTTCCACCATAGCGATCATCCTCTTCTTTCAGTAAAACAATGTGTCAGATAGAATGTCCTATATTCAAATGAAAGGGTAATCTGTTTAGTGAACAGAAAAGGTAAAAGGCTTTTCTAAAACTTGATGTCCTGCCCTGTATATTTTCTAAAACCAAAGTTTGACTTAGCAAATCTATAGACTACATGCAATTATTAAGAAACAAGCTCTATAAGACAAAAGTAACAACAGTAATTTCTATTTACATAGATCCTTTAAATTCAACGGAATTATAAAGCTATACATGAAAATTAGCATCCTGTTCAGGACAAATCGTCCGATATATGGCAACACTGATTTTAGTTGTTACTGTAACATTGATTCATATCTGTTAATTCTATTTTCTGAGCCAATGGAAATTATAACATGAGATAATTAAACTGAACTTTTGACAGATTGTTCACTATCGTTTATAAACTATAGAAAATCTTACATACTGAGTTAGAATGAACATAATTCGTATGAAAGCTAATCCAGTAAAATTATAAACTATGATGTTTATAGTACGTGTTTTGTTAAGTATGTATGATAGTATATTGAGTTATAACGAAATATGAGTTTTATATAGGAACACTGTATTGTATAATTGATGTTACCAAAAATCTTTAAATTATTAATTTTAAGACTTTGTTACTATAATATCATGTTGAGCTATTTCATACCACTACGTCTTTTGGTTCCACATCGTGTTACTAGCAACACGTTTTTTGGACAACTTTCGTTGTCATGTTCGCCTGTCATGATGGCCTATCAACACGCCCTCTGGTGCCACTTCGTGGAATTATGACGTCATCGCCTCTGGTGAAATAATCTTCTCTACCCCTCCCTATTGCGCGCCTTCTGCTGACACTTCGTGAAACTATGACTAGTTTACTTGAGAAATAAGTTAAAAAACACACGTACATCTTGAAAATGTAAATTCCACACACGCATTATGTCATGAGTGCATGGATTGCGTTCTTAAGATGCTTCGTAAACAGTGGATAAATAATACTAGCGCTATAAAAGAAGGCATACACTTGGTCCAATTATAACGAGTCAGAAGAATTGGTGTTATACACAATTATTTACCACCGAATTGAAAAAATAATTAAAATTAACTGTTTGTAGTTTTTCAGTCCTGTTACTGAATGATAAGATAAAACAGTTTTATCTTAAGGTCTTTTTCCAGAAAAAAATTTGAGGCAAAGCTTCATAGCTTGAGAAGTTATTTTACATTTTCCGTTTTGATGAGGGTAGGTTTTAGGTCCTCGATGGAAATAGTTTCTTATATCCTTATTCTGCTCACTACAGGTTGAATAAATAATGCAAAAGTCATTATATGAAATTGGAACATTAAAAAAGGTTTGCAACTTATATGCCAGAGTGGTCAAAGATAGATTGAAATGTCGTCTTTGTAATTAGCGTTTCGTATTGCAAATGTAGTATGACGAGACAGACACCTGTAACTACAGACGCCCAATGAATATTGCCTTTTTGTAATTCTTTCTTTAAACTTGAACACAATTCTTACATGACGTCACTGTGAAAAATGTGAAAACAAGAAGCAACAAGTTTTTTCTTCTATTTTGTAGGTTTATGCGAAGTTGATTTGAGAATTTATCAATTTAAGTCAAATAGATGGCTACTTCTTTACCTTCCATAACTTTTATTTTGACCTCTTTCCTCTTGTTTATTAAATTCTGACATGGTCGTCATGTCTACTGAAGTAACGAGCTGAAAAGGATATTCAATGTTCAATAAAATCTTCTTTATATTACTTCACGCCTTCGGTGGTACAGCGGTAAGCTTAAGAACTAATAATGATAAAATTCATGGTTTGATCTATTCAGTGGCCACATCACAAATAGCCCATTTTGTAGCTTTGTACTAAGCAACAAACAATACTAATTCATTCTAACAAGCAAAAAAAGAACTGAATTTTATAATCTCTAGAACTAAGGCAGTTATTTAATTCCGTAAAATTCAAGAACAGAACCGAAAATTTAGATATAACAAGTAAATGAAGACTTACGACAGAAATCAACAGTAAAACTTTTATCTTGTAATTAACGTACTTATGAAAAGGAAGAATATTTTCAACTTAAAGTGTGAGCTTAACATTTGGATGTTTTGGACTTGGATAGTCAAGAAAAGAGTCCACCTGAACACGATTTTGGAGAAAAAAAACGTGTTATCAACATGGTATTTGTTAAACAAAATTTTAAAATCAGCCGTACAATCATTGAGCCATATTTTATCGTGACATATCATACACTGACGGAGTGGGTGTTAGAATTCATTGAGCCATATTTTATCGTGACATATCATACAGTTGACGGAGTGGGTGTGAGAAATCATTGAGCCATATATTATCGTGACATATACCTTTGACGGAGTGGGTGTGAGAAATCATTGAGCCATATTTTATCGTGACATATCATACATTTGACGGAATGGGTGTGAGAAATCATTGAGCCATATTTTATCGTGACGTATCATACCTTTGACGGAGTGGGTGTGACAAATCATTGAGCCATAGTTTATCGTGACATACCATACATTTGACGGAGTGGGTGTGAGAAATCATTAAGCCATAGTTTATCGTGACATACCATACATTTGACGGAGTGGGTGTGAGAAATCATTGAGCCATATTTTATCGTGAGGTATCATACATTTGAAAGAGTGGGTGTGAGAAATCATTGAGCCATATTTTATCGTGACATATCATACATTTGAAGGAGTGGGAGTGAGAAATCATTGAGCCATATTTTATCGTGACATATACATTTGACGGAGTGGGTGTGAGAAATCATTGAGCCATATTTTATCGTGACATATCATGCATTTGACGGAGAATTGTTATGAGAACAGACGCTTATGGAAGGTAATTGGTTACCGGCCTCATGATTGTGACATGTAAGTTTGATAGGCATGTTTATTGACGAAAAAAGAGACAACTGGTATGGACAGTTTCTTTACAAAACCAGATTGTACAAAGTGGTTTTCTTACGAGACCTAAGCTTCTCTATTGGACTGTCTCACGTGGTGTTTGAACTCCCTTTCTATTGGAAGATCCACATTTAGTATGAGAAAGCATCATCTTTCACCTGATTCTGTATATTTAACAGAATATTTTACTCGAGGCAGAATTTTCGTCCGGCTGTCTGTTTTTCCCTCTATATTACAGAGAGAGAAAGTGGCGGCCGGCTGATAGCAGGCGACAATGTTTGTTAAAAAGAGTAATTAGTAGAGTAATTTTCAGAATAAAATCTATAGCTGTATCAATATGCATTGACTGTTTGCTCATTAAGTTTAAAGATATCAATTAAACTACACAATAGGTATGCCAGCAGAGGGACATTAATCGCACAAGTCCCGCACTCTATGTACAACTCTGTTATCAAATGTGAGAAAACAAATCCATACAAGTAAATAATACATACATATCTGCAACAGTTCCCAGCTTCAACTATTTTATGACATTTATCATTTCAAATTATTCTATTATGAACAACTGAATATTCAGTGAGGGGAAGATTAGAATTTGCGAACAAATTTTGAAAAACAGACCCATAATTAAGTAATAATAATAATTTCAATATTTTTCACGTTCCTTTACCTACATAAAACCGTATTTATTTTATCACAATGATTAGTTGCATGTAATGTGTATTAATTTAATTTTTGTCCCACAATTTGATCTTAATGAGGTAATATTGAATGGTTTTCACCAAAAATAGCGACGTGAGATTCCTGCACCTTCTTCCTTTGTTCAGCCCCGAAAAACCGGCTATTTGAGGAAATACATTCAACGTACTTGGTTTCTCCCTGGCTCCTGGAAACGCCGGTTCTGTATTCTGAATGGAAACAAGATGTACACCTACGAAAATGAGGTATAGTTCATATAAACAATAAGAACAGGTTTGAACTTAAACCTGTTGTATAGCCATTTTAGCTCTTCAGCATAAAGTTGGCCAACAATATTTCTGTGTTCTATAGGATAAACCAAAAGTGAAGATAATAAAGAAATGGGCCTTAAATCTATTTGTTATTTTGTTATATAATAAACATAACAAGTTATCGATTAGTTTGGTGTATTTGTCTCAATTGTGCGTTTATTTAAACACGTCTTTATGTATATTTCAGCTATTATCTTGTATAGCAATAGTGTTCTCGTACACATAAATAACTACATGCAAACAAAATAGTGTTAAGTAAGAGAAAATAAACAACAAAATCCTTTATATCGTGTTGATTTATTTAATTGTTTTATCATTTTTCACCTGTTATAAATCGTGAACGAGTCTTAACCAACACAAGAAAGTAAAAACAGATTGTTACAATCTAATATTATATGTATTCAACTAGTATTACACTAAGTGCTTACAACAATTAATAATGAAAAGAGAATTTGTGATTTCACTTTAACCAAAATTTCAATCGTTTAGTTTTAAAAAAAGGGTAAACTTCATCAGCATTTACTGAAGAATTAAAATACGGAACGTCCATAATATATTTTCTTTTTTTCAGTTCACAACTCAGTTCACCTTTAAAATTACTTAAATGCTTTGAACACATACAACAATGGCTTTTGAAAAGTCAGAATTAACTATTTATATATCTAATCTTTTCGAGAAAACCTCAATGAAAATAAGCCTTTTTTATAGTTCAATAGCGTTTGTTTACTGTGGTCTAAGTTCATAGGATGATATATATTCTTTAAAATTTGCATTTCGTTCACAAGAGTAATTTTAATGTGGAAATGATTTGAACCCTACCGGATATTAACTGCAACAGTTTTAATGAACAAAACACATAGTTCATACTGTTCTTTAAGTAAAAGTATTTAAAACAGAATAATTTGTTTCTAATTTTGATATACTTTATTTTTGATTTTTCTATCTTTATACTTATAGAACAAATAAAATTAGGCAGTTGATGATATCACAATGAAAAAGGAATAGTAGATTTCAGGGTAAAAAAGATTCGCCTCGTTGTTACTGCTTATGCTGCTTCACTTGCTTTGGCCACTGTAAAGCTCCTTGAGTACTATATAAAATACAAATTCGTAATGTCTTTGAGTGCTAGAGACCTTATTCGTAACGTCCGTACAAAATGTACTTTTATACAGTATTATGAATAAACAAAGTATTAACGTTACGGTTTTAGCACTGAAACCGGTAAAGTATTGGAAACCAATAAGCCCAAAAATCATTATAAAAATTAATTTAACTCTGATTTTGAGCCGCAATGGACGATTTAAGTGTAGTGTGGAGACCAAGAAACATCACCTTAATTAACTTAAAGTATTAATGTGTAGATAAGGGCTTTTTGAATTTGACTTTTTAGTAAACTTTGTGAAACAATAACCGAGAGAGAATTACTGAAGTATTACACTTTGAAACTGATGACAATAAGCTTGTAAACTTAAAAAATGAACAAAATAAACTAATGATGTTTTTGTGAATAACTTAGCACAACTACAGGTTTGAACCCAGGCAAGGTTCCTGTTAGAGATACACGAATGTTTTTTTATATTATTTTAAGTTTTATTTTTTTAATTTTCGTTTGAAATTAGCCCCTAGTGGCTCAGCGATAAGTCTACAGTCTTACGACGCTCAAAATCAGGGTTTCAAACCGACAGTGGGAGAGCACAGATGCCTCATTATATAGCTTTGCGCTTAACAACAACCGAACCAAACGTGAGAAATTAATGGAGAATACAAATATATACATACATACATATTTCGTAGAAACGTATAAAATCTATTTCAATTCTACAACAGGAAAATAAACTTAGTAAGGGATTTCAACTTAGTTTGCTACTCGAGCCTCTTAAAATGAAAAAGATAAAGAAAATTTGATCTTTTATATAATAGATAAATAACTTATAGATTCACTTTGATCTTATATCTTACAGGGATGTAAGGGCACGGAAAAATCATCGGGGGTTATCAATCTTGACTACTACGATCTCTGTTTGGAAGGAGGGACTAAAGAAAGCAAACGAGCTTCAAATGTGTTCATTATCACCTCATCCGTCCTGGGATGTTTTGAGGTAAGTACCTTAACTGCAGTTTGATAAGTAGCAAAAGTAAAAGCAAAATTCCTAATTATTTTTCTCCTGTAAAAAATATAATATAGTGATGTTTGTATTATGATTTCGTAACTGATGAAGGCGTATCACCGTGTGTCAAAGCGGTCGTCCGGCCATTGGCGTAAACTTATACAAACATATTTTTCCTACAACAATAAACAAACATCATATGTTAATTTATGCTTGAGATTCTTTTGAAATATTACGATTGTACATTATATGTGACATTGAAGTGTTGTTAATTTGAGGGAACTGTTTGTTATTCTAAACACTCATTTATATTTGTAACACTAGAAAATGAACCAGATCTTACTGTACAATTTCATTTAAAAAGCTGTATCTTCTTAAAACCAATGGATTTACTTTAATACAACCAGCCATACTATCTAATTAATTAAAGTTTATAGTTTGCTGTGAATGTTTAAGTTTGTTTTCAACTAGTTTATTCTTCAAACACACTGTTGGTGTGAACTTGCTTTGGCGTTACTATGAGAAAAACCTTTACACTGGATAGGTGAGTGAATAAAAAGTGTCATTAGCAACTATTTAGTTCTTCACATTATATAGCCGCACAATAGCAGATATAATATATAAACTTAGTGTTCCGAGAATTGTTTAATTTCAAATGGAGGTCCAGTTCAATCTACACTTTGATGATTGTATGTTATTGGGTTAACCCAATTAACATTCATAATAGTTAGAATTAGATTACAAAATGTTTTTTTCACTGTAAAGCTTTAGTGAGCTTACATTGTGATTACAGAGACGGATTGTTCTTTTAGACATTCATATAAACGGGGTTTTCAATTTAAGCCATGTTTCTTTATTGTGAATATTTGTATCTTCTGAATACAAAGTTTCGTGATTTCTGAATTCATACAGGAAACTTCTCAAACCTATAGCTTTATCAGAATACAGCATTTCAAATCAAATAACTAAAACACATTGTTTACGATATACACATATATAAAATTAAAACTGTATCTTTAAAACTTCTTTTCACGCTATATTTTGAACTGTAAGGCACAAAAACTCTATTAAGCTTGGTTGTGAACTTAATACTGTTTTGACTGTGTCTGAGGTCGGATAGCCTAGTGGTTAGTCTACTTGAACTGCAAGTCAAAAGATTCATGGTTCACAGCCCGTTACCATAAAAACACGCATTTGAAATAACAGGTGGAAAAACATCAGTTTCAGATCTATCTTTTGTGTGCCACAAATGTCTGCTCAGAAGGCCTTTTGTTAAGTTAGTAAGATAAATTGAATTTTCTTAACATTATTCTAAAAACTTCAATTCAAGTAATTTAGAGTTGGAACTAAATATGAAAGCAATCTTAAGGAATCCAAGTTAATAATCATCATAAACATTTCACATCAAATAGATATATCTACATTCTTCTTTCTGAAGCTATAAAAAATATTTAAATCTCTTCAGAATGTTTTTACAAAAGCAAATTTTAAACAGTCCTATAAGTGTCATGATACTATTTTAAAGTCCTATAATTGTCATGATACTATTTTAAAGTCCCATAAGTGTCATGATACTATTTTAAAGTCCTATAATTGTCATGATACTATTTTAAACAGTCCTATAGTTGTTATGATGCTATTTAAAACAATCCCATGATTGTCACGGTACTATTTTAAACAGTCCTATAATTGTCATGATACTATTTTCAACAGTTCTACAATTGTCACGATGCTATTTTAAACAGTTCTGCAATTGTCATGGTACTATTTTAAACAGTCCTATAATTGTTATGACACTATTTTAAACAGTCCTATAATTGTCATGATACTATTTTCAACGGGCCTATAAATTGTCATTATACTATTTTAAACAGTCCTCTAATTGTTATCATATTATTTTAAACAGTTCTACAATTGTCACGATACTATTTTAAACAGTCCTATAGTTGTGACGATACTAATTTAAACGGGCCTATAATTTTTATAATACTATTTTAAACGACGTATAATTTTCATGATACTATTTCAAACAGTTCTACAACTGTCATTCTACTATTTTAAACAGTCCTATAGTTGTGATGATACTATTTTAAACAGTCCTATAAGTGTCATGATACTATTTTAAAGTCCTATAATTGTCATGATACTATTTTAATGTCCTATAATTGTCATGATACTATTTTAAATAGTCCTATAGTTGTGATGATACTACTTAAAACAATCCTATGATTGTCACGGTACTATTTTAAATAGTCCTATAATTGTCATGATACAATTTTAAACAGTCCCATGATACTATTTTAAACAGTCCTATAATTGTCATGATACTATTTTAAACAGTCATATAGTTGTTATGATACCATTTAAAACAATCCTATGATTGTCACGGTACTATTTCAAACAGTCCTATAATTGTCATGATACTATTTTAAACAGTCATATAGTTGTTATGATACCATTTAAAACAATCCTATGATTGTCACGGTACTATTTCAAATAGTCCTATAATTGTCATGATACAATTTTAAACAGTCCCATGATACAATTTCAAACAGTTTTATAATTGTCATGATACTATTTTCAACAGTTCTACAATTGTCACGATGCTATTTTAAACAGTCCTATAATTGTTATGACACTATTTTAAACAGTCCTATAATTGTCATGATACTATTTTAAACAGTCCTATAGTTGTGATGATACTAATTTAAACGGGCCTATAAATTGTTATTATATTATTTTAAGCAGTCCTCTAATTGTTATGAAATTATTTTAAACAGTTCTACAATTGTCATGATACTGTTTTAAACAGTCCTATAGTTGTGATGATACTATTTTAATCAGTCCTATAATTTTCACGATATATAACTAGTGGGATTATCCATGCTCGTCAGCCAACCTTATCATGGCGAATTGTGTGAATGGTATACCTCAACAATGTTTCTCTTATTAAAATGCTGAAGTCATCGCAATGAAAATTAAAATTATCAATTGCACTTAAATAAGAAATGTGGGGAATGTAACACATTTTGAAAATTATGAAATAGAATTTCCATTTATTGATGACACTGAGTATCGATCATATTTATGCAAAGATCGGTGTTACTGAATGTAAAATGGCACTAGTGTACGAAATGAATGCTTACCTACTTTACAAAATTTTGAAGCTGTCTGTTGTGCGTTTGAAAAACGATACTTGTTGATCTTTTCTAATACAACACGCATAATATCTGGATTTTATGTTATATTTATATTTGTTGGCTCTTTAGAAATTGTTTGACTGACATCTATGATATTCTAGAAGCAGCACTTGTTCTCATTACCGACATCTATGATATTATAGAAGCAGCACTTGTTCTCATTACCGACATCTATATTATAGAAGCAGC